CACGAGGCAGCAGTTGCCAATTTGAAGCACACGCCCCCTTTCGACTCTCGATTTCGGTTCCCTACACTCACGCCAGCGGAGGTGGGTGATGGAACTGAACCACAGACAGTGGGGGCGAGGCACGAGTAGCGGCACTGCAGCGACCGTTCTGCCGCGAAAGCTAGGTGCCCAACCAGTGGTGGATGGATTAGTGCAAGGTACCAACGTCTATTGGTTACAAGATCCCCTTAGGTTGTGCCCATGTTCATCCAAAGCCTGCCGTTCACACTAAGGTAAGGTAAGGTAAGGTAAGGTAAGGTAATGTCACTTGTTGGATTTGTTGTCGCAAGTTGTTGGCTAGGTGTGCCAGGATAAGGTAGGTTATGTTGGAGAATTTCAGCGGCACTTCGAAGGGACAGAACACCATCACGTTCGCAGTCATGGCGAGGAGTCTATGGCCATGTTCGTGAAATTGAGTGTCATTGAATGCGCTTCAACACACATCGCCAATGACCGGGCTACACCTCTGCTTTGAAAATGGAAGCTGTGTGTGCGACGAGGGAAAGATTACGTTCTACCTGAGCGTCTGTACGAGGAGATTGAGATTCATGACGGATATATGGGAAAAGATCTCGAGTCATTCAAAGACCATTCTGCGGCTGCGAATTGCGTACACTCCGTGCTTTTCTCTGGTTTCCTAAGGTGTTCAAGTTGATACATTAGCTATTACGTTTTAACGTGACGCATCGCCAATTCATCAGAGTCTGGCCCAGTTCTACAGATACAATACAACTTCAAGCTTTACACCAGCTGTATATCTCCAACAAGCTCGCGTGAGATACTCCTTCACCATATCCACCGTCTATCCGCATGAATTGCCCAATCCCCGTCTAGAACAACTTAGCCTTAGACGTATGTGTTGAGCAGCTTCCCCTGCGAGTTGATGAGGTGGTGACGAGTTGCGTATCTTGAATGACCATAGGTGATCGCATCACTCATTGAGAGTTAGTTGCCGAAAACGTCCTCGTGTGAGAGTCCAAGTGGAAATTCATTCGAATGACTCTTGTATTTGCGGAGTTGGTATGTTGGAGATGGGCTGCCGGCATGACCATCGGGGATTCTGTGAGGATATAATGCTTCTTCAATGGATGAAATTGGCGTACGCGGTCTTCTCTTCCCGATAGACGATTGCGCTCTTCCTAGATCTTCAGGCACGTCGTCCTTCATGTGGTTCGCGACAGCTTACAAGGCGTCGAAGCTAAACAGCAGCGCAGGCAAGATTAAGCGTATATGATCAGGCAGCGCGGGGTGCCAATGGAGAAAGATGAGCATCATCTCCGCCTCCGTTCCGGCCTCAGAAACAACCACTCATTACGAGATCCTTCCCACACTGTGAGGGCAGTGCTGTCATTCATCAGCCTCACTTGCATCGAGAATACATGCCACGTCGACCTGTCTCATTCTTCGGTAAGAGATCCGGCGTATCATATCACTTTACCAACAGCGGGCTCCATTTACACGTCAGCAACAGATCAGCGATTTTGTTCCTGTGGCTTATTTTTCGGTAATGGGGCTGCGGGAGGGTTGCGGCTTTTACTTGATAGCGGCCGCCTCAACGTAGGCAAGCGCTTGCCTGGTTTTTTCCGAAAATGCCTACAGCAAAAAGGCGGGAGTTGGGGTTACACAAGACAGCCCGTTCTCACCGCTTGATTTTACAGCGCCTACATTGGCCGATGGCTCTAGGCCAGACAGCTTTGCATTCCGCCTCTAGTTTGGCGATGGGTTGCATGGTTCGCACTTCAAATGGTTCGCCAAAGCAGCCGGAAGTTGTGGGCTTCATCGTCTCCCCTCCCTTTTCTTCTCTCTTACTAACGCAACGATGGATCAACTACACGGCCGGCTCGGCCATATTTAATTATCTTCCATCCTTCACAGCACTTCTTTTGGTATCGTTGGCTTGGGAAATTGGAAGGAAACTGGAGTTGGCGAGAATCAAGAAATCCGGATTCTGGCATAGGTTTGCCTCCCTCCTTCAAATTGGGAATTTCCGACTTTCGACATCGGTCTCGGTTCTTTGAGTGTCAAATTCCGTCACAAATCCCAACCTTCAAACCAAATGAAGCGGTGGTGACGTCTGCTTGTCGAGCACCTCTCAAAGATACAAAGGGTGGATTGATAGTTCGACCGGCCCAAAACTCGATCTCAAACAACAGACTCGGCGGATTGAGGCGAAGCCATCACCATGGCATTCCCGTGGTCCCGGTTCTTATTCGCACCCATCGAGAATTACAAGTAACATCATTCCATGCCGGGTTGGCGTGGTTCCATGAACCAGTCGGAATTTCGGGGACAGCCGCCACTTCTGCGCTTCAAAAGTCGACCAAAGGCCGTCTAGGTACACGACGAAAAGCAAGACAACGGCAGCGCGAGATCAGTTCGACAGACGTGACATCTATCCGCTCACTTCCTTGATTCATTTCATTTGACAAGCTCAAGTCAAGCCCAACGAAAGCGCCCCGTCAGGAATCTGTGCGTGTTGTCAATGGTACCACGGCTTTACTGATTCGAATGCTTAGTGTGAAAAAATAAGCTCTAAAGCTATTATCACACGCTTTACCGGTAGCTCTTGAAGGTTTTGACCCCAGATCATCTGCGACGGCTGAGATAGCAAGTTGGACCGGCCTTACCAAGAATGCCGTGAATTTAGCTGTACTTTGGGACGTCTCGAGTCAGCACGTAGGCTCAACTTTGTGACTTCCCGTTGCTACCAACTATCTAATCTCATAGGTCAACGATCAGAATGTGCCAAAATGCAACCAAAATGGTAACTAGACGTTGCTGGTATACGCTGCTGTCGAAGTCAACTCCCCAGATGCTTTCAGCGTAATTAAAACTAGACATATACGCGATGAAGACGTATGTCATTGGCAAGCTCCAAACGTACCAAATTCTTCTTTCAAAGATAAGAAAACGAGGTGACTGCTGAAAGACCATCTTGCCAAAGTCAGGTGGGAACAAAGGGACTCGTCAGGTCGATCGCGGTCAGGAATTTTGAAACTAAAGCCAAAAAGACTAGTTGTTTGGTATATTCTGATCTAATGAGGCTAGAGTAATGCCTTACAAAATCTCACAATCCGGGGAACACTACCCATGATGAAGAGAGACGCATCGGGTTGTGGCAAAGTCGTGTCCGTATGGCCCGGCCGGCTTGCCCCACTATCACGGGAGCCCCGAGTCCGGCTCCGGTGGTGATCCACAGAATCGAGTAACAGGAGCCGTGTCGTTATGCCAAGTATACAATCAACCATACAACCAGTGAATTGAATCAATTTTAATCTTCTAGCAACGTGTTGGCGTTCGACCGATTCCGTTGGCTGCTGCAACAGAAGCAAGGGATCGTCACGATCCGCCAAGAACCAGGTTGTGCGCTCGTTCTGGAGGACCTTGGCCTCTTCTCTACGTTCAGTTTTGTTGGGGATATCCAATTCGCTAGAATAAAGTCAATCAAATCGATGTCCTCATGACAAGGACTCCAAATATGTTTCGCGGCAAGACCGTGGGACTTACGTACCCATTCGCGACACTTCGGTTAGATATAGTGTCCATAAGGCGTACTAGATGGCGGTTGTACCTAAATTCGGCTTCAAGAAGAAAGAACGCATAACTCCAGGAAGTGACATCGTCTTCCGCAAGAAACTTGGCGCACTCTTCGTACTTTATACGAGGTATGTTGGCCGGAGCGAGCCATAACTTTGTAAACTCGGGTTTTGCTAGTCAAATGAGAATCCAAGGAGGCTTGGCTTGAAAGTCGAACATTAAGATCTCGGCATCTTTTGGTGGTTGTCGAGTGATGTGTAGTTGGCTGCATGCTCCTGGGACTTTACGCCCGCAGCACTGCTCCCTTTCCCCCGCTCTGCAAAGGTGCCTTGTGTCAAACGCCCGTCCGCTTTCAACGTCTTCCGCGATTGGTCTCCGGCACTACAAGCCAGCTGAGAGCCGTGAGGCGACTATGCACGAACGGCTCCCCAGGTGCTTCGGCGACGAGCACAAGACCCATGCGCTCATGAGATGGCTCGGAGCATCGGGTTTTTGAGATTTTTTGGCTCCCAAACATACATACACTGACCGGGGTTTTGACTGCGGAAGCAGCCTGGATGGTAGGTCAGCGGAATGACAGGGTACAACGAGATCTTGCAGATTCCAAGACATTTACGTAAAATGAAACCTACATGCGTTGGCTAAATGTAAAATTTGTCCGTTATTGCATAGGTTGGTCGCCATCCTGAGTGAAAAGCAAGAGAGTCTAGAGCCATCCAATTTAGGACACTTGAGATCGCGACTTTCGTGGGACGTGGAGATAACCAGAGATCAATAAAGCGTACTCAATCTTTCTCGGAACCGCATCATCGTTTGTCAACTCATCATCAGAGAATCAGCCAAGTAGGGTACTTGTCGATAGGAATCACCACGATATCCAAGGCGGAATGGAATGGAGAAGGAACATACTATTATGGGATGTGTGGAGTTACCTGTCTTTCGCACGCAGGTGCTTCATCGCACGCCAAAGCAAAAGAATGTGAAGGATCAAGATGCATCATTGCGGGCTACAAAAGCTGCATGCGTGCGGTCACATGCAGTCTGCATCATTACGGGCGTTGAGGCGAGGTGCTGAAATTGAGGCTCACATCAATTCAGCTTCGGGGAACGGTTTGGCCAGACAAAGATCTACGGTCTAGAAAGGAGACCAAGACGTCCCCAAGGCTCGGTACTCGGCGGTACTTCTGACATGGTCAATAGCTCTGCAAGGGAACTTGCCACTCGGCACATCATCAATGCCTGGACACATCACCTGCCCCGGATTGCGGGCGCAACTACTCCCGAGCTCTATGATGACTGGTATATACGGCTGCAGATCAGTGCGGTCACGGTCAATTTCTGTTTGAGTGCCCGGTCAGATGAGAGCCATGAGTCTTGAATGATGGTGATTTTCTTCGGTAGTGAAAGTGTGCCATGTATGCTCTTCAAGAAGTACTGGGCTGATTCTCCTCTTCCTTGGCTTCAGGTTTCCGGCCCCAGACAGAGTATCTGATGGTTTCATTAGAAAAGTTTTTAGTTGAGTACGGGCTTGAGCTCCAGCACTTACACGTCGTAGTATGCATGAACGCCAATCTTCTTGTGTTCGTTTCTCACTTCCGCGCAGAAGACACTCGTTTCTTCTGGGCTCCAATCGAGAACGCGAGTGAAAACAGCCATTGAGATGGCCTCGACACCCATCATGGTAGAAGCTTGACTCCATGAGCCCAAGTCCTTCAGTTTCTCATCCTTTGGCCAAGGGTTGAAGGGCCACTTCTCTCTTTTCTCCACAACATCGACAAATCCCGCGTCCTCAACCAGCTGCTTGAAGGTCGCGGCAACAGTGATCGGTCGTTGGATCTTGTCGGTCGCCTCCATAAGTAACTTGGACCACTTCAAGGGCTTGAAGTCCTCCGGCATAGTGCCGTCGTCACATTTCAAAGGAAACATGTTGTCCTGTATCTCTAGGTATCCACCCGGTTCGAGATTGCTGCGACGATATCAACATGATGATCAACCACAACATCTAGATGCCAACTTCGCTTACTCGTAGGCTTTGGCTATCATATTCGGCCAACTAGCGAAGCTTGAGATCATGGATCGAAAGAAGATAAAGTCGAATTCCTCCGACCACGTCCATTCCTTCTCGATATCATCGACTTCAAAACTGCAGTTGGGCGGTACACTGCATAAAGTCAGTCAGAAGTTGGCCTTGGTTCCTGGTTCGGGCAAGTACTGACAAGCCAGGCTGTATTGGGCTCAAATCCACGCCAATGACCTGTAGTTGCTTTAGCCGGGTTGTTCGATTCAGTTACACTACAGTAGTAGCTCATACAGTAGCCTCAGGATGATCATCCGCTACCATCAAGTTAGAAAGAGTCGCAAAGCTTCGTGATGGTTTACTGACCATAATCCAGTGCCCAAACCCCTGTGCCGGTACCTATATCAAGGACTCGTCTGGCGCCATTTTTCTTGGGACAATTGCAAAGATTGTTGTCCCAAGTCGCCAACCATAGGTTGTGTGTCAAGTCTAAGCAAATGTTAACCTCACGTAATGACCTAGTAGAATGTGGTTGCTCTTACCTAGTCGATCTTGTTCCCTCTGAGAAAGTCCTTAGTCAGCTACACTCCATCACCACGCAATTTGTAGATTGGTACCTCATCATTAGGGAGAACATATTCTATGATAGGACGACAACTCGTTAGTCTCTTCCATTTCAGACATAGTGGAGGGCCTCTTACTTCCGTCGCTGAGTCGATGGTATGTGCGACCGTTTTCACGGCGATAATCGAGGATACTAGACCGTACAGAAGCCAGCGAGCTTTCAAATGACTACCAACGATTAGTATCAGTTTGTCCTAATCCATCAAAATGACTCAACTCACAGGACTGCTGTCTGAATGGGTGTCGTCGTCGTCGTTGTGGTGGGTCTGGCAAATGTCAGTGTAAGTTACTTCATGCGCGATTGCAATACACATTACCTCAGCTTCAAGCTGCGCCGTTTGGTCGGCCATAATGATACAGATAGCTTTCCAACAGCACAATCAACGTGGCAAGAGTGAAGTAAGTTGAACAATTACATACCTCGGAATGAGGGGAAACAGTCCCATTTAATATTTCCTTGTGTCCTTCCTGAAGCAGAAGAAGACTCCTCGTTGGTTTCCAATGACCATCCGCCACCCCCCGCTCCGAGGACTGTTGGATCGAGTGAACTCTTGTTTGTCACCTTTTGATTGGGTCAAACCGTTTAACTGAGCTCGCCTGCATATGCAAGGTGGTCGGGACCAGTATTGAATTTACCCGGTTGACCAGAGTACTTCCAAGTTAGAATGCCGGATGCGTAACAAAATAGGATACCAGTCAACAAAAGGTTATCATATTTACCTACTTTTTCTAGCTTTCTTTTTCTCTTAGGGATATCTCTTATCTTCAATATTGCTATCGCTCTCCTCTTCTGTTCAGGTATTCATCAGGGAATACTCTTCGAAAGAAGAACATACCTTAGAACAGTAGAAGAACAGTTAGAGGACCTAGACCGGCAAACGATTACTTCATTCACTCGAGTGCAAACAGGTTGCTAGATTCGATGGCTGTTTCTGCGTGGCCGAGGATGCATTTAGCGCCCAGCGGTATAAGTGGATGACATAGTGATCTTCCACTTCCCCCCTCTCTATTACTAGGGCAATTTCTATCACGTATCAGGGGCGGATTCTACTGTCACTCACTTTTCATGGAAACGTCGAACTGAAGGCATCGTAATTTTACCATCGCAAATTCCAAACATCAGCTTAGGAGACCAAGTCTCGACATTCCAAAGCATTCACTACCGTAAGAACATCTCTCGTCTACCTGAGAGTAGGTCTTCCTGCTACGTACTTTGTGACAGCTATATTCAGACAGCACTGACACCGGCAGGCCCCTCTTGAGACTCATCCTGCTTCTCAGGCTTCCGGCCCCAAGTTGCATAACTAGAGGGCATGTCAGTCAATATATCTCACCAAAAGCAAGGATGTATACTTACACGTCGAAGTAGGCGTGGATGTTTTGTTGCCTCAACTCTTCCCGAGCTCCGGCGCAGAACACCACAGTCTCCTCCCGCGACCATCCCAGAACGCGGGTAAATAGAGCAAGAGAGAGAGCTTCCAGACTTTCCATGGTGATAGATCGGCACCACATGCCCAGCTCATGCTCCTTGGTACCCCTCTCGGGCCAGGTGCCTATCGGCCAGATCTCCTTCCTCTCCTGCACATCCTCGAACCCAGCGTCCTCGAGCATCTTCTTGAACTTCGGAGCATCATTAAGCGGCTGCCCAATCAAATCAGTGCCCTCCATGATCAGTTTCGACCACTGGTAGATAAGTGAATCTTCCGGCATAGTACCATCGGTGCAGAGTAAAGGGAAGACATTGTCCTGAATTTCCAAATATCCGCCAGGTTCAAGATTTCTGTGTTCCCAGAGTGTTAGTTCCAATTTCAGGCGGTGTGGTCATGAAGTTTTTTGACTTACTCGAAGGCTTTGGCGACGAAATCTGCACGATCCTTGAATGCAGCATTCATGGACCGAGAAAAGATGAAGTCGAATGCCTCTGACCAAGTCCACTCTTTCTCGATATCGTCGACCTCGAACTGGCAATTCGGCGGGACGCTGTTTCGTCAGTACGCTAGCTTTCCGCTCAGCAGATCAGCGTTGACTAACAATTTAGGTTGTATAGGGCTCAGGTCAACTCCGAGGACCTGCATTTTCTTGATTAGGTTCGCTCAAATCATGATTTGGTGCACGATGAGAGAGCTCACAAATGATTCCGGGTTATCATCCGCTTCAGTGGCTTAGCATAGTCACAAGATATTGCGGGTTACTCGGTGGACTTACCGTAGTCAAGAGCCCAAATACCAGTCCCGGTCCCGACGTCAAGAACTCTTTTGGCGCCATTCTTCTTGGGACAATTGCATGGCTTGCCATCGTAGGTTAACTTCCACAGGTGATGAGAGAAATCTGAAAATGGTAGTCAGTGCCACGGATACTTCTTGAGAAGGGTTCGTGTTGAGATTTTACCCAGACGGTCCTGTTCTTGCTACTTTGTGGATCAGCATTCACCTTATTCTCACACGTTATGGTAGCTATGACGTACCTCGTCGTTGGGAGCGAGGTAGCCTAGCACACAGCCTGTAAGTGATGGGTCAAGAATCAAAGCCGCAGAGGACTACTTACTACCATCGCTCACCCTATGGTATGTGCGGCCGTTTTCTCTACGGTAGTCCAGAATGCTGGATCGTAAGGAAGCTGTCGATTCTTCAACAGACTATTGTCTGTGAGTCGGGATATCTTATCCAAGAGTTCAATTCGCTTACAGATCCGCCTATGGATGAGGTGTCATCATCAGTCCTGTCATCCTATCGATAGAATTAGCATGGTAATCCATCGAATCTTAACACGGAGGGCTTTGCGCTCACCTCAGCGGGATTGTGAGCGTTTTCAGCCATCTTTTCCTATCAAGTCACGCCAAATTCTTTGGTTTTGTCGAGGTGTAGTGTTAGGCTTGGGGTGTAGTTGGCAAGATTGAGGGGAAAGAAAGAAAGTCGAATGTTGCGTCGTGGCTGTTGGGACCGAGGTAGTATCCTTCTTTTGCACTTCCAACAACCAACAAACAGACCCGCTTGCAGGTGCTTCCAGATGCGTTATTCTACTCCGTGATTGGCCTGCACTGTCTTCGTCAAATATCGTCTGCATATTGGCGAGCTATTCGACAAGGATCAAGAAAGTGAGTCCCATAACACATGGGGTTAGATTCAGTTTACCTTATCCAAGCTGGTAGGTGCGATGTCCCTCCCTCTACAGAAACATCATCAAATTCAAAGGACTCTTTTAAAGCTCCTGAATTCTTACGGAGCTCCAATATGGCTTATTTTACCGGTTGAAATATTGCAATATTTGGACTTCAACAGCCGTCTACCTACAACCCACAGTGATCAAGATTGGAGCCTGCTTTGGTTCTGAACGAACTCTAGATGGTACTATGAAATAAGAAGCACTATGTTGTGTCGTGTCTAACTAGGTAGTCTCTGGCCTTGCTTTCGTCTCAGGCTTTCTACCCCAGGCAGCGTACCTAATAAAAGCGGTTAGCTAACCCGAATTATACGGGCCAATGTCAGTCGGAGACTACTTACGCATTGAAGTAGCCGTGAACCCTTTGGTGTGTTAATTCTTCTCTGACCCCTGCGCAGAACACCAAAACCTGCACTCGACTCCAGCCAAGCACGCGTGTGAACAAGGCCATGCAAATCGGCTCAAGGCTTTCTAAGGTACCCGCTCTACAGCAGATTCCCAGCTCCCTCTGTTTCGAATCCTTTTGCTGCCACGGACTAATGGGCCATTTCTCTCGTCGTCCCTGGACATCTTCAAATCCGGCATCCTCGAGCAACTGCTTGAAGGTAGGCGCTACGGTCATTGACTTCCCCACAATATTCGTGGCTTCAATAACGAGCTGAGTCCACTTCAGCACTTGAGAGTCTGCAGGCATGGAACCATCATCACAGAAGATGGGAAACTCGTTGTCTTGGATCTCGAGATACCCTCCCGGCTCCAGATTGCTTAGAATTGTCGTAAGCTAAAGCAGAATCCCACACATGCCCTAGGGCGGAGCACTTACTCGTAGGCTTGTTTGATGGTGTCGGACCAGCTTTTGAAACTTCCAACCATTGATCTGATCATTATGAAGTCGAAGAGCTCTGTCCAGGTCCATTCTTCCTCAAGATCATCGATTTCAAAGCGGCAGTTGACTGGAACGCTTTGAAAAATGGTCAAAATATGGCTCCCTTCATGCCGCCAACGAAGAACTGCTCACTAGATGGGTTGGATAGGGCTTAGATCAACACCGATAACCTGGCTTGCCTCGTCAATGAAATTCCGTACTTCGGAAAAAAGTGTCTCTGACATACTCTTGCTTCGGGGTGAGCTTCCGCTGTTAAACCGTTAGTGATAAGCTTGAGACCCGCGTCAATTTATTCTCAAGCCGTTCCACCTACCATAATCAAGGGCCCAGATGCCCGTCCCAGTTCCAACATCCAAGACTCGCCTGGCGCCCTCGACTTTAGGGCAATTACATAGCTTCCCATCCCAGGTAATTATCCACAAATGGTTGGCGAAATCTAAAATGGGCTGTTGGATTGCGCGTCCAAAATTTAGGAAGCAGACTGACACGTACCTAAACGGTCCTGTTCCGTCTGCGTTGTGCATTTCAAGTAAGTCAGGACGACTCCTCAAGATACGAAAGATATCTCACCTCATCGTTAGGAAGATAGTACTCTGTTCTATGGTCTCAATAAACACTTTTTTGAGCTAAGGATCAAGACAAACTTACTCCCATCACTGACCCTATGATACGTGCGTCCATTTTCCCTGCGATAATCAAGGATACTTGACCGCAAAGAAAATAGGGAATCATGGATAGACTGTTTGTTATCAACATTGCGGAAGCCAACTATCTTTGCATGAGATACTAACATTGCCACTTGTAATTGAGGCGCCGTCGTTGTCTCGAGGATTCTGTCTACCATGTTAGCCCGGATCATGTATTCGAACTTCTGTCAAGGTTGGAATCGTACATATTCCGGAACACTGTCTCTAGTCTCGGCCATAGTTTGCTTAAAGATTGCGCAGTCTGCATACGTCGGCCCGAACAAGAGAACGGCTTTAAGAGGGCACACTGGATCAAGATTGAGGGGAAAGACGGGGTTAAATGCTATTTCCTGGGCGAAGCTGTTGGCAGCGAGGTGACCCCCGGTTGTGTATCCACAAGAAGGTGTCCGTACGGCGCAAGCGCCAGCAACTCCACTCGTTGGTTTCTCGGATTTCGTTCGGATCGAATGATTGGACTGAATCTCGTTGGTCAACCCATTTGTGTGTGCACCGACTTGGATGGTCGGTCTCTGAGCCTAATCTGGCCGGAACGGCGGAAATGCAGGGGTCATTTAGGAAAACATTGTTGGTGACAAACAAAGCGATATGGATTTGTTCGAGGTCCATGCTAACTGCCCGATTCAAAAAGTGATTGAACCCATGAAGAGAGCGCATGTGCACTATAGCCCCTCTGTCCGTTTGAGATGCAGCCCTCTGTCTGTTCACAATTACAAACATCACGGGCGAATATTTGTCTATGCTTAGACTGGCGGACGTCGCGGCCATAGGGTAAAGAAGGTGACTTGAGATTAGGATCGATCGGAGACTAGAACAGCCCAAAGCCTCAACTCTTCTCGGGTGATACCTTCCCTCATGTCTTTATGCCTATATAAATCTTTACACTGATGCCGCGGTGCAGATCCACCTGCAGTTCGCGTCTCTCCTGACTCTGAGGAAAGATATTCCGTGCTTCTTCGACATCAAATGCGTGAGCAATGATCTAGGTGAAGTGTTTTGTACGGAATTACCCAAAGCTTTCCGCTTTAGCACTCGTATGGTAGTCCGACTTCAGCCACTCCCGTAGTTTACTCCAGTAGAGCTGGGCTTGTTGGTTGATGAGTCCGTTGAATCGTCTGACTTGTGTTTCGTGAAGCTCTGCTGGAAGGTTTTGATGGCTCTAGTTGCTCGGCTTTTGTGGTGATTGATGGCAGACTTCAAGTCCCGAGGATTGTGGGAAAGAGGCACGAGCGTGTTGCCGTCTTGAAGGTGTTCCTGCTGAAACCGAGCCAACTGGGATTGTCGAGGTATGTGACTATCAAGAGGGTTGATCCGAGGATGAGTGTCACCACTGAATTCAGAGAAATGTCAACACAGTCTTCTCAATGGAGAGAAAGAGCTTCAACTTACACCCCGTGATCAGGACTAGAACCAGGAGAAGACATGGCCGCAAGTCAGAGCAATGAATGAGATTCCTCAATGAAGTTGTTACATTGAAGCTCGGTGATTTTGACTTGCTTGGTCAATGTGCTCTGCGATACTGGTGGGAGGAGGGTCTTATACAAGATCGAAACCTTGGCCAAGTGCGGCTGGAAAGGCTGTATGTAACGGCAGTCATGTCAAGGTGAACGGGTTTGGGACTGACATGAGATACTGGCGAACTGCCAATGCTTTCTCGAAGCCAAATTGACTTGAGCAAGAGCCATTGAGCTCGACACAGAAAGAACAACACAATGGTCCGCCGGCGACCCGCGGCCGTTCGCACATGGACTCGATTTAACCGCCATCCCACCGTCACCGGTGATTTGCCCCAGACTGGAGATGACCAACTTCGCATACTGCTTCACACACCCTTGTCGTACCGGATCCAACCTGACTTCCTTCTCCTAAGGCTACGGGCCGTCACACCCACTTCCAGCGTCCCAGAAACCCGGTGCGTGGCAAGTCGGGAGGCTGTCTAAGCCTTTCATGGTATCGTCCCCGTTCGAGAGCCCTGGAGGTAGTCTTCTTTCATCCTTCGAGAACATGCAAAGACACTGGACACCTTCCTCAAGGAGAAGCTCGTGTGTCGGCCGGGGGAGGATTACTCTTGGAGCCGGGAAGAATACTGGTCACATACTGCCCAGCGTGCATGGTATAAGCCACGGCGATCTTGAGGGATAATTTCGTAGGCTCCACCACATGGTTCTCGGAGGTCTCCAAGACGCTAATAACACGGCACCGGCATTCAATGAGACGTTGCACATGTCTCTTGTCGGGGAAATGAGGTCCCTGCCGGCGGTTGAGGTCGGAGCCACTGCGGAAAGTCCGTTACTGTCTCCGGAGTGATTGTGGCTGGTGTTCTGCA